TGAAATTCAGTACAAATGGGTAAAGAGAAGTGCAAACTCACTGGCAGATGGTTTAGCTAGGCAAGGGGTGAACAGAAACTCTTTATTTTGGGCCTTATTGTAATTGTATTTGATGCTCATTGATTGTTCTAGGGAGCTAAGATTGTTTAGCCCCCTTGCTTTGTAATTTTCTTAATATTAATTAATACATTTCACAGTTATTGATCAAAAAAAAAAAGAAAAGAAATATTGTAAAAATCATAGACATGGTGGAAACAGTGTAAAATATGCAAAACATGGAATCATATTTTATGAAATGATAAAAGAATTATAGGCACACCTTTTTAAATCACTATCTTGTTCTAAATCATTAAACAAAGCTAAGAAACTATGGTTATGGACAAAAGAATACATTCTGAAGTTGCCTTGTAAACCTTAAGATTCAAAGTTTCACAATAGAATGTGTTAAAGCAAAATTTAAACTCATAGAAAATGTAAATGATTGTAATAAATCAACCATATAATCTATTACACAAACAAAAAATTAATATTTAACTACATGTTTGAAATGAATATTGAGCTAGCTCAAGGTGGTTATCATGTAAGTTAGGCATAAAATAACATCATTACTTCACATATCTGGAAAATTGTCACCAACTTATGTTATAATACTCTTGGACTCCGCAAAGTACTGGTAGTATTCAACTGTTATGTTGATCCCAATAAAATTTCATGTCACTACCCATGGAAGTAGAAATGGAAATATGTTGTGTAAACTATCTCCACATAGTGCTGGTTGTGTTCATTGAGGAAATGTCGATTCCAGTAAAATTTCGTGTCTCTAACTATGGAAATGAAAATATGTTATGGAAATATTAGGGAAATTAGGGACATTTTAAACCATGCAATCACCACTGTTTCACTCTTACGGCTGACCATTGCTGAAACATTCACTATCACAGGTTTCCGCAATGGTAATCACCACTGTTCTCCACTTTCGGCACCACACAAGAAACCATCACACACAAAGATATCACACCAGCACTCCACATATCTGGTACTAGACCTTTGACCACCTATCTGAACCACACATCTGAACATAGATCACGAAACTACTGTAGCAACCCTCTTCGGTCCATCGGAGGGTTTCCTACCAGCCACCTGAAACCACCACACCACAATCAATCGGAGGCATTAAAACCTCCAGAAGTAAAAAACAACCACTCCTTTTCAGCCTTTTTGTCAAACTCCAAGAAACCTAAGAGAAATCTGCAAATACTCAACTAGGGTGCGCTGGAGACAACAGATCTGAACTGATCTAACCTCGCTCTGATACCATGATAAAGTTCAGATCTGTATACCCGTTAGTTTCAGAATAATAGAGAAAAAAAAGATAAAAAGAGGGAGGGAGAGAAGAGAGAGGAAGAGAGAGGAAGAGTGAAGAGAAGAAAGAAAGGCTGGTCGAACTAGAGAGAAAAATCTACACACTCTAGTTGGCCAGGTTATATTTATAGCTTTCTATATCAAAAACAAATTGACTCTTGTGCCCCTACTTAAGTATGGGACACATCACTTAACTCAACATTACACCTCATACTAACATAAACAAAAAGAATAATCTGCCCCTATATAATCGACACTAACACCTAGCATTAAATTTAATTTTGCTTAGTTTCTTTTTTGTTTAACTTATCACAATGGATTATGTCGGAAGCTTTTTCTTTTTTTTTTTATCAATAACAGAAGATTTCATTGAAGAATATCAAGGAAACAAAGGGAGGGGATAACCTCTCTTATCTCTCCCAACAAGAGACAAACAAAGCAGAAAAAAATTACCTTTAAATGTAATCAATGGACTTCCAGCTCAGACAAGTTTAAAGGAGTCTCTATAAACGACCTAAACAGGGATTCTGGCTTTTTCCTTTTCTCCTCCCCCCTTCACCCCTCTTCCCCATCAAAAGGGGCCCCTTACATAGGAGGGAAGGAACTTGGACCCTAAGTTTTGATGGAAGTGCCTCAGGCAACCCTGGACCTGCTGGCATTGGAGGAGTTTCAAGGGATGAAAATGGGAACACTTGCTGGGTATACAGTGGGCCAGTAGGTATAGCTGACTCCACAAAGGCAGAATTGATGGCTGCACTTACAGGAATCAGACTAATCAACAGACTAGGCATTCAGCATTGATCCATAGAGGAGACTCAGCAAACACCATAAAGTAGTTAGGAAGACAGGAAGCTGGGCCGTGGAGACACGGTCATTTTCTGACATAAGCAAGGGACCTGCTGGCAAATATAAACGTTCATCTGTGCTGGATTCCAAGGGATTTTGACGCTCTTGCAGATGGGTTAGCAAAGTTAGGTGCTCTTTTAGAAGTGCTGTACTGTGTGATAAGATCCCTCCTGTGTAACTTTCAGAGGTCTGATCCTCGTCTGTATGTTTTCTTTGTACACCCTCTTTGTGTACCCCTCTTTTTTCCTAATGAATTCAGTCAACTTTTCTCAAAAGAAAAAAAAAATGCAATTGAACCCAAAACAAAGCACCCCTATTTACCCCTTGTTTTGCTAACCCATCAGAAAAGGAGTTTGCACATCTCTTAACCCAATTTACTTTTACTTCCATGTCTTTCATCAGCCACTTAAACCAGCCCACCACCATCTTGGAGTCTCCTTCGGTGATCAACTTCCTTATATCTATCTCCTTAGCTCTCTATACACCTTCCAATGCCACCAAGATCTCAGCTCTTAGGGAGTCACCTACTTCAATTGGACCTGAGAACAAGGCAATTATTTTCCCATTCGCATCCCTGAAAATACCCCCAATACCCAAAGACCCCAGATTACCGATACTGCTTCCATCGAAATTCATCTTGTAAAGGCCGCTTGGGGACCAAACTGGAACTGAGACATCCTGACCCGGTGCTGAATAGGCAACTTCTTTCCACTTTTTTGACAGATCATCCATTGACATGTTGAATAGCTCCATAGATTTAAGCCAATCTACTAATCTGATAAAAATCACCTCCTCTAGATGGCCTCCTTGCTTCTCTCCTTGTGAATATTCTGGAATTTCTTTCTTCCCAAATGGTCCAGCTAACAGCAGCCCTTACACTTGCACATCTCCACATTAGTCTTACCTTTTCTTTGGCAATCCGAAGAAGGTAGGAGCAAAATCCACCTGCATCAAAAAAGGAAGAGAACCATTCCCAAAACCTTTAAGTTTTAACAAATGAGTAGGAGATCAATAAATGGTAGCAGTTCTCACCATCGACCTTACAAAGAATGCACCAATAAGAGGATAAACAACTCTTCTTTGAAGTAACTCACAGGTGTTGATTCTTTCAAGGCAAACAAGGAAATTGATCCCTTAATGGGGAGTCCCCAACCCACACGTGTTCCCAAAACTTAATACAATTCCTAGAGTGTAAGTCATACCTGATCCAAGGCAAGAGCAAGGGGTGGATGGCTTGGATAGATTTCTACGGGGATGTTCTTGTAGTCCTTGCTCTAATTCCAGTGTCCTAGCCATTTGCGCTAGTCTATGAATACTCACCACTACCTTGGCCCACAACTTTTCTTTCTCATTGGGAAGTCTCGATAGCCATTTTCTTAAGAGAGCCGAATTCCGCTTCTGCACATTCCCAATTCCCAATCCCCCAAACTTTTTGCTTCTACACACCACTTCCTACCTAACTCTATGATCTTTCTTTTTTCCTCCCCCAACTCCCAAAGAAAATCCCTCATTAGGTTCTCCAACTTCCTAGCTATTCCATTGGGAATTTTAAAAACTGACAAGAAATACACAGGTAAATTAGCTAGAGTGGATCTAATTAGGCTGCCTCTTCCTCCCATGGATAAATAATTTTGTTTTCAAGAGGCAAGTCTCTTTTGAAATCTTTCCACCACCGGGGTCCAAAAACTCTCATTCCCAAAGTTATCACCTAGAGGGGAGACCTAGGTATTTTAGAGGCCAACTAGAGATCGCACAACCCAAAATATCAGCACTTTGACACTTCCCCCTCCCCCATATTGATTCCAGCTATGCAACTTTTCCCAAAATTTACCTTTAAATTTGACATTTGCTCAAATAGTTGCACCGCAATTTTGAGGTTCCTAATCCACCCCAAGTCACCTCCATCACAAAAGAGGACTGTATCATCAACAAACTGTAAGTGAGTGATTGGTACCCCTTCTCTACCAATTCTTCATCCTCTTATTAAGTTTCTTGCTTCTGCTCTTGATGTCAATCTCCCCAGAACATGTGCTACTAAGGTGAATAGGAAAGGAGAGAGAGGGCCTCCTTGTCTAATACCCCTTAAGGCCAAGAAAATAATCCACTACTGTCCCATTCACCAATATAGAGTATTGACATGTCTTCAAACATCCCATCACCCATTTGCACCATCTTTCTCCAAACCCAAAGCAACCCATCACCTCTCTCAGGAAGGACCAATCCACCATATCATATGCTTTTTCTAAGTCAAGCTTGCAGGCCACTCCTTTCCTCCCTGACCTCCTCAAATCCTCCACACATTCATTGGCTATCAGTATTTAATCCACAATTTGCCTCCCTTGCACAAAGGCCCCTTGGTTGGAAGCAATAATGGTAGGAAGCTTAAACGAGTAAAATTACCATCTTCTGGGTGCTACTCTGCTTTCTAAACTTCAATATAATTCTTTTTGTCCTTTACAGTTAAAAATGCATTGGTGGTATCAAATGTTAACATTATGTAAAAGCTATTTATAAGCTGGTAGAATAGGACATTTGTGCCATTTGTTTATGGTTCCAGCAGTTTCCAATGATGCGATTTAACTTTCTCTTAGTTGCATATGTCTATGAATGAATTAGCTTGTTTTCTAATTTAATCTTCATGTGATCAAAGAGTTCATCTTATGTGTTCTGGGTCAGACTTCTTGTACCATGGTTATGTCAGTTCATTATAATTTTCCTGAAACCCTTGGATTTGGCTCTCTATTTTGAAGTTTTAAGATTTGTTATATGCTTTCTTTCTTGAATATGGGCAGGATAAGTTGGAGCCATCTAGTTATTCAGTTGGTGACATTTCATTGAGAGAGGTGTATGATAGACACCTATTGACATCTGGAAGAGCCTGGGCAATTTCTCTTACTCTGAGAAGCAATTTAAGTGAAGAGATTTTAAGACCATTCTTTCCTGGAAGTAATGATGAAACATTTGAAAACCTTATTTATCGGTGTGTTACCTTTATTTTAAGCCTGTCTAACTAAAGAAAAGAGTTGCTATCTTTCTACAAGTTATGACTGACATTCTTAAGGATGAAAACATACCTGAGAATGCTTATCACATTTTTTACTTGAATACCAATTCAATCTTGTGAATCCTCATTTTGTTTGTTGGATAGCCATATTGGTCAAGAATTTTTTGCGGAGAATATCCTCATGACAATGAATTGATAGTTACCTTTATCTCAAAAAAAGAAAAATCGTCATGACAATACTAATTTGCCTTTGGTATTCTTTTCTTTGTCTAGCATGTGGGGAATGACCTGCTGGTTTCTTCTGAATTTGATGTAGTAATTTAATTCTACAGCATGCAGTTTTACATTGAAACTCTTATAGTTGCATATAATATATATATATATATATATATATATATATATTATAAAGAATGTGAATTTTTCTACTAGAATGATAAAGATTAATGAAACGAAAATAATCTCTCGCTCAGAAAGAACTGATGTTGTTAATGAACAACCAAAGAAATGGAAAAATTATCTCTGATCAATTGATCATTTTGGTTTCACTCCTTCCATTTCCTTGGTGCATTTTGTGTACATTAATGTTTTAAAATGTGGAGGCTTGACACAAGGCATTCCACTACTTGGAGGCATGAGGCGTAGTCTCCTTTTATTAATAAAAGTTTCCGTTATTGATAAAAAAAAAGAAAAAAGGCATGAGGCGTAGTTCAGAACATAAGGGGTGTAAGCCTCCTGAATGCAAGGAGGCTTAAGCCTCCCTAAGAGGAGGGGGTGAGGAGGAAGAAGGGGGAGGAGGAGGAAGGGAATCTCATCTTTCTCTCTATTTTTTATTTGAATAAAGATCTTTTATATTAAGAAGAATGAAGATGAGGGTGGGCCTTGGCACAATGGTTGGGTTGCTACATTGTGACTTGGGTGACCAAGGTTCAAATCTTTGAAACAGCCTCTCTGTATGTGTAGGGGTAAGGCTGCGTACATCTGTCCCTTCCCAGACCCCGCATTGGTGGGAACCTCGTGCACTGGGCTGCTCCTTTTTTATAATATTAAGAAGAATGAAGATGTATAATACTAGTTGGAGGGGGGGGGGGATCTTGCTGAAGCAGAGGCGAGCGAGCAAATCCATTCTCTTTCTTTTATTTCCCTCCCCTTTCTTTTCCTTTCCCTTTCGTTTCTCTTTCTTTTTTTTGTCTTTTTGTATGAGGAGTGTGTGAGGCACACGAGGTGTATGCCTCTAGCACACCTCATGCAAAAGGCGAATGAGGCGTATTCATCAGAGGCATCAATGTCTCTGGCATACACACCTCAGGGCATTTTGGGAGTGCCTTACTTGGAGGTGTACCTCCACGTGTGCTTCCCACACCTTTTAAAACACTGGTATACATAGTATTCAATGGAGTGGCCAATTTGTTGATTTCAGTGACTTTGATGAAGAAAGAGGTAGTGGTAGGGAATTTTGTTTATATTAGGGGTTAAGGCACTGCATGTTGATATTGTTGTTTCATGATGCGGAGGTTAATTTGTTTCATTGTTTGATGTATTTTCTTGTTATTTTTGTGTGTTTCTCTGTTTTTAGGGGTTTGGAGGTGTTTAATGAGGGTTGTGTTGGAGTGTTTTCATTGCATTGACTACATCTAACATGGGCTTATATATCCCTTATTTCCTTTTTTTAATTGAATTTTATTTTACTATAAAAAAGTATTTGATTAACCTCTGAGGAACATTACTCAACACCAAGTGCAACTCTATTAAAACAATACCTTACAAACAAGGTGTGATCCCATAGGAAGACATGTCCAACTTTGTCCTGTGTCTTTTAATCAGTCCTACCATGACTGTAAGGCTTTGTTTACAGATATTCGCAACTTGATGTTGTTTACTAGCATTCCTGGTAATCTGAAGAATAATCTAAGAAATGTTTTTTGGTCTGCGATTTACATGCAGGTCATCTCTTCATGGGAAAGGGTTGAACCGATTCTGGTCAAATATTGAAGGTTATAATGGATCATTGCTTATGCTAGTCTGTGCTAGTTCTGGAGGTGCTCATGAGGGTATCACCAATGTTGGGAGATGGGTCATTGGTGTAGTCACTCAACAGGGCTTTGAAAACAAAGAGATTTTTTATGGTAGCTCTGGATATCTATATGCTATAAGCCCAATTTTCCAGGTCTTTTCACCTTCTGGTATGTGAAAACTATACACAGGGATACATGCATGCATTCATAGACATGCACACACACATGAGAGCATGCACATATTCACTTGCATTTGTATTTCTGCAACAAAATTTTGCTGAGCAGGGTTCTCAACTATTTACAGGGAAGGAAAAGAACTTCGTATACAGCCATTTGCTTCCCAGTGGTGGAGTGTATCAATCGAATCCAAAGCCTGTTGGTATTGCTTTTGGAGGAACCATTGAGAATGAGAGAATATTTATTGATGAAGATTTTTCTAGAGTTACTATTCGCCATCATGCAGTTGATAAGAGTTATCAACCTGGTTCGCTTGTCCCCAATCAGGTAGAACAGCAACATTACTGAATGGGTTATATTCAATATGAAATAAATCGAGTAATAACATGTCAATTTTTTCATCACAAAATCTAAAAACTAGGCTGGAAAGGGATGGGATTGAATTCAGATAGGGTTATATCCTAATCCAAGCCTATAAAAATCAGGGATTTCTGAATTCAATTTAATACCCAACAAATATGCGGAACATAGGTTGGAGTTTGATCCATTTATTTATTCCTGTTATTTTGATCTGAAACTCAGTAAACCTTTTCAAGATTAGCATAAATCTAAAAAATCAAACAAAACAAGAAGCCATGTATTGTGAAAAGGCAAAAATAGGATTATCCGAACCCCAAATCCCACCTAAGCCTAAAGAATTTTAAATTAAAATTCTATATAAAGGTATATATAACATAAACACACATTAAAATTAAATCAGAACCTAGTAGATGAAGCAATATCTAAATTCAACTCAATTAATAAACGGATCACATTTTCAAATCCAATCCAATCTGATTTAAATGGATATCTTAGTCCAACTTAAATGAATTGGGTTCAAATCCTAATCAGATCAAATGCATTCCATTAGCAGCCCCATTTAAAACAAGAGAAGTGGTCATTTTCAAATTGTGTAGTCATGGCATTGTAACACCTCTGTAACAAGACAGCCTTGGCATATTCCATAGATGCAGAAGTAGCATTGAATCATCATACACTAACCAATGCAAGTTCAATGGGGTGGTTTTGGTTGGTCGAAGTCTCAAACGTGAGAGTGGGTGTGTGTATAATACCGGAAGATCTCAAGTTTGAGTGTTTGACCATTCAAAATCACCCTGTGAATTTTGATTGGTGTACTCCTCAGTACAAGACATTAAGTGTAGGAGATCCATATACTTGTGCATCTCGTATATGAAAGAGCTGCGCTTTTGTAGGATCATTATTTTCTGTACGCTTGGCTTCTTTGTCTTGTTTGTAGCTTATACATGTGTATGCTTTCCAAATGATTGTCAAGTAGATATCTCTTTAGGATCTATTTTTAAATGTAAAAGGGTAAAACTGAAATATTTGAACCATATTTTTGCTCGTGTAGAAATTTCAACCCATTTTACACCTGAATTGATGCAACCTTTCTGATTGGAATTTTTATTTGATTGATGTATCAGGGATATCTACCTCTTGAAGCTTCAATTCTAGAGGTGGAAGTTTGGGGATTAAGTGGGCAAAAAGCCAAGGAAGAGCAGATTACATATAAGAAGAGAGAGCAACTCTTTACAGAGCAAAGACGCAAGGTAGGCTAGAAAACCAGTACCCCTGAACCCTAATTTGTCATTTGTTTAAAAGAGGGCATGAAGGTCAAATGAAACCAATTTTGTATTTATCTTCCTATTCTGCAGGTTGACTTGAAAACTTTTGCTAGTTGGGATGATTCACCAGAGAAGATGATGATGGATATGATGTCTGATCCCAATAGCGTACGGAGGGAAGACCGCTAATGAGGCTAAAGTTCAGATCTATTGTAAATAATTCCCTTGGTTCGGTGGAAGGGAATTTTGAAATTCCAGCCAGTTTAGGCTTCTGTAAATAAGTGTGTTAAATGTAATAGACAATAATGTACAAATTCAACGGTGAAAAGACCTATGTGGTAGTCACTGGATTCTGTATATGCTTGTTTGCCAGACAGCTCAGCTCTACCATGCTGTTCTAAATTTAAAGGACATCATAAGTAATGAGTTTGTGGGCAAAACAGTTAAAACAGGTAATTTATTCAGCAACCAGCTTTGAAATTGCAGGGACTATCTAGGAAGTACCCACCAATCGTTTAGGTGGTTCAAACTCTTTTATCATTGTTCTACCATTGTTTCTTTCTGGTCTCCAATTAAGATGGCGTATGCCTCAGATTCTTGGAGAGTTTGGTTGCCGTACTCCTGAATGAGGGAATCTTGTTAAAAGAGTGTTGAAGTGCTAGCTGAAAATTCAAATTGCTCACTGGCACTATATGAACCAAGGTTTTAAAACCGTCGTTGACTCAAATGGTCGAACCACTTAACCTGGAAACCGGTCAAGTTAGCGGTTCTGTTTCATCCATGAACCGCTTTCTTAAAAGATTGTTGAATTAGTCAAATAACCATCGACTCAGACAGTTGAACCATCAAACAGTTCAACCCGGGTGACGGTTTGCAGGTTGCTAAACTTAAAATAAACCGAAAAAATTACCAAAGTAGATTTTGCCCCAAACTCTTGATAGACCCATTTGACAACTTAGGGATTTTTCTCATTTTCTTCCTCTTACGGTCTGCAACAGTTCATTTCTCTCCAATTCTTTTCATGTTCTTCAATGTTTAATCTTCTTTGAAATTTGATTAGTTACAATAGGCTTGTAGCGGCAACATTTTTTGGCGGCAGCAAATAAAATCGACCACATGCAACCACTGATCAGGGTTTTCTTGAAGCAGAAACCTCTGGACAGCAGCAAAGACGTTCAAAACCGGCAGGTTCTTGCAGGTTGCAGTGGGAGATTTAGGTAAAACAGTGACCTTTGGGCGGCAACGAACTTGTATCGAACCCACTGGCTAGGGCTGATACATGGGTAGCAGCGGCAACTTTCAGTTTCAGAGTTTTAGCTTGCAATGGAGATTTCTTAAAAAGGTGGTTCTTACTCCAACTTCTTTGGTTCTCCCAAATTTTGTTTAAATTTCAGAATGCCCAATCTTACCTACACCTTCCATCTATTATTCCCATTTTTTGTTCAGATTTCAGAATGCCGTCTTATATTTCCTTCATTTCTCTCAATTTTTTCCCTCCACTTCACTCTTGATGATCACCATTGGTTCATTAACAAAAAGATTTTCGGTGTGTAACAGAGGGTTTTTCCCTGTAACAGTCTAGTGTCTAAGAGGGATTTTCAATTTCTAACGGATTGAACCGTTCAACCTGAGTGGTTGAACCATTAACCCAAAAATCAGAGGTCAGAACGATTCTGTTTCCGGATCAGTTTTTAAAACCTTGATATGAACGACAAAATGCATCCCATCATCCTACCATGCAGTAGGAAACTGATAAAGAGACGGTCTTGACCTGATCTTGGAGGAAAGGGGAGGGGTACTCTTACTGAAGCGCATAACCTCCATGAATACTGGGGCCAATTCGTGATAAGCCACATCAGCAGATGTCACCATGTGTACAGAGCTGACATGGCATATCATATGCGCCCGCGAGTTAGAACTGCAGTAGAATGGTGAACGATTCAATTGTTAATAGATAGCAGACCATTTATTACCCGCCAAATTTAGATTGTACTGGAATAATGATATTAATAAACTAAACTACGAATGATCAAAATATTATATATTATTAATAAAAAAAATTAAAAATAAGTTTGACATTATATATCAAAAACAAAATAAATTATAAATGATAATTGGAAGGACTCAAAAATATCATTTGATGAATTGGAAGCAGATTTGTAAACCCCTCAAAGAGGATGGTTTGACATAACTATATCTCTCCAACATGGCACTCCTAGGCAGGTAGTTATGGAGATTCTGTGATAAATCAAATGATCTGTGGAGGGTCATTATTGCACAGAAACATGGCCTTCAAAACAATGGTTGAGATGCAGCTAACCTAATTCTGACCATCCTTACGGGTGTGATGTTTGGCGAGGAATTTATAGAACTTTACCCTCACTTTGTTAATGGGGACGAGCACAAGGCAGGGGAGATTGATAGACTGGAGTTTTAGAAAGACGGTGCATAGATTTGCCTCTTATGGAAAATTTTCCAACTCCGGATCTCCTGCCCACAAGAACTTACAACACACTACCTCCGTTCATTGGAAACATCTCCCCGTGATAATACTATGTAGGAGGATGAGATGTTCCCATGTGTGACTGATGTTATGTGGGTAGAGGTGGGCAGAGTTCAGATAATGAGGTTTTGGTGGCAGGCTCCCATGTTATTATGCAAGGTGATTCAACGCTTTGGGCCCCCTCTTTTAGAAGGAATTTTAATGATCAGGAGCTGTTTCAAATATTCGACCCGCTCTGCTTGTTGCAAAACTCAAGAATAAATCCAAGCTTCCAGATCAATGGATATAGCTTTGGTTTAAAACCGGTTCTTTCTCAGTTAAATCTTTTTATAATGGCCTGAGGTCGGAATCCACCAACAGTTTTCCTAGTAAAGCCATACAAGTGGGATTGTTCCATTGAAAATCAAGTTTTTCTCCTAGTTGGTTGCACTTTGCAGAAGACATGCCTCACTAAAGCTATGTTGATTAGGAAAGGTCTGAATTTGCCTAACTCCCTACGCGAATTGTGCAACCAAGAGACAGACTTCTAATCATTTGTTTATGCATTGCAAGTTTTCTGCTAAAATCTGGTCTCACTTTCTCAAAGTCATTTCCCTCCAAGCTTGCTCCCTGGTTCAGTCAAGTCCCTTTTTGAGACCCGGAAAGTTGAAGGTATGACAAAAAAGGGCAGATCCCCTTGTCGGCAATTCCCTTGGCTGTTACTTGGGCAATTTGGAATGAAAGGAATAGGAGGATTTTGAATAAAAGCAAAACCAGGAAGAGGTGCTGATCAATCAAATCATTGGTAAACCTTAGAGGATGGCTGAGTATTAATCTGCATTTCAAGAATGACCCTTTATATAGTTCTTTTTTGGCTATTGACTTTTTTGGGAGGCCTTAATGGTATTCATTTGTACAGTGAACTAACACACTTGTATATTTCTTTTTGAACACATCAATACAATTCTACTTCTCAAATAAAAAAAAAAAAAAACAAAATTAAGTAACCTATGATGTTGTAACCATACAACATTTAAACCAACTTTATTAGTACATATTGCATAAATATGGTACTGAACAGAACAGAATGATTTGCAAGAAGGAAAAAAAACAGCAGAACAATGAACAGGATTAATGTAGTAGGCCCTATATATTGGCATCAAAGTTCAAAATATCACAATATATCAGTGCATATCGTACAGTATGTATTGGTTTTTAAATCCACTAAAACACTATTTACTAGGAGTTGGGAGATTTCTATATGTTTAAATGTTAGAACACCTCTTAATGTACTTATCTGTGAAATAGCCAAATACTGGACTGAGCAAATAAAAAAAAATACATCACCCTTTGGAAAGTCACGGTTGCATATCAAGAGTATTGATACTTTTAACCATTGTCAGGAGGCTTAGTTAAATTTATTTAAATATAGGGGCAAATTACTTAAATTAATATACCTTGTAGTTTCACAAAAAAGAAGAGAAGAGAGATAGAAGAAGAAAGGTTGATGGATGTGACTGGTTCCACATGTAGCAGAAATTAAAGAAAAAAAATGAAAATAAGAGAGGAAGAGAAAATAAGATGGAGAGAAGAGGAGAGGCAACTAATGGTGAGCTGGGGTATGGATTTAATAGTTTAAAGAAGAAAGGTATTTTCTTTCAAACATGGAGGCGCAAAACCAGGATTATGATAAATTGTATTATGCATGTGTTAGAATGGATAGATGACCCTAAACGTTTTACCAATAGAAGGCTATTTGTGTCAAGTGGAGCCACCTGACAGGGCATATTTAAGTAATTTGCCCTAAATATAATCATATCGGATTTTATCAAATCGCATCCAATTATAAATGGATAAATTCAAATAACCCTTAATGGATTTTATCAAATCGCATCCAATTATAAATGGATTTTATCAAATCGCATCCAATCGCATCCAAATAACCCTAAATATAATCATATCGAATTTCATCAGTTCAGCCACGATACCAGTTGCATTAATATAAGGTACACATCTGTAACATGTTAAAAAACTATGAACCAATCCATATCTGCTGAATGGTCAATGTCAGGATGCAACATGGGGATGAACAAATAATGCATATAACCATCACCACCTTATGTTATTTCATTTACCAGGATGAAAACCTCTAGTAGAGTGGCTGATCAGATGTGTATTGATGATGAAGCCAGTAGAAAATCAATCACTAGCGAGGTGAAGTCATTGTTTTTTCTCTTCTGCCTTCCTTGGCTGGAATGGGGAGGAAGATTGACATGAGTACATTAAAATTGTCAACAGTTCTTAATCATAACCTAAATGTAAAAAGAAAGCAAGGCATAATTCTGTTAGCGTGTATTCACAACATTGGAGGATCTAACCTTTAAGGATTAATCCATTAATGAGTTATAATTATTCTTAGATCAAATTCAAGAAAATATGAGGATATCACTTTTAATTTAGGGCATAAGGAATTTTATTGAAAAACAAAAATATAATTGGGTGGGTACAAAGTATGATGCCTACATAATAGGCAAACAAAATAACCTTCTATAAAAACAAGTGCATCATAAGCGAGGACAAGCATATTAGTGGAAACCTAAGGCCTAGGAGAATCTCCGATATGTGGCAAGATGTGGTAAAGGTGAGCTTTGTAGTAGTGAGGTTAGGGGTGTTCATTGTTCGGTTAACCAACCGTGGGCCTATTTTTCAAACCGAACCAGTAGTACCAGTTTTTGGAAAACCAGTAACCAAAACCGAACTGAAGCCGATCGGTTAACCGGTTGATCAGTTCAGTTAACCATCAGTTGGTTCAACAATTTTTTGGTTTTTTGATTTTATAATATATATTATAAATAAATATATAAGTATATAATAAAAAACTAGAAATACATATAAATATTAGATTATAAATAATAAATAATACATTATATATTATAAATATATATATTTATATATAATGCATATATATTCATTTATAATATATAGATAATATAAAATATATATGAAATATATACATAAATAATATATAATATAAAATATATGTATACTGGTCGGTTCAATTAACCAGAATTTTTGGTTTGGTCTTATTGGTTTGGTTCGGTTTTTCATGATCACCCCTAACTGAGGTAAGACCTCAGAACTCACAATAACAAAAGAATAGCAGTTGACCTTAAATGATTGGGATGAGACTTAATTGAGTCGATGGTCATTTGGTCCACAAGCATAGGTTTTTGGGGAAAAAAAAAGTTGTCAATCCTAGAAAAGAGCTGAGGGTCCAATTATAGTTGAATCAGTTCTCTGAAGTCAAGGAATAAAAAATCTATCAAAGAAATGCCTTAAGGACAATGAAAACCTAAAAGAGAAAATAGTTCATCTTCTTCAAATCCTTCCCTAAACTAAATCATTGAAAATGAATTCATACAGGACCTGAGCTTCCATACCATAGCAGTAGTTTACCTTGAAATTCAGAGGCATTAACATCAACATAAATGCCCTGATCTTAAATTAACTCCTTTGATCAAAATTTAACTTGGGATATTTCCTTGAACATTTTTTATGGACTTTGACAGTATATACATGTGAAATAGCTGCCCCTCTAATTAACTTCATGTGAAATAACTCCCTATTGCCTCTTCAGTTTTCCAATTCAAGTCAGATTTTTTTACAAGTCAAATCTTATTCTAAAAAGCACACCCATCCCCACTTTCTAAATTCACTCACCAATCAAAGAAATCCAACCAGAAAGAAGAAAAAGAAGATAATATATACGGTTCCGAGATCTTCATTGCACAAACTACACATGGTAATAAATAAGAATGAGAAAGATGGAAAATCAACCAACCAACTGATCCAGGATACACTCAAAAAGAATGATCAATAATAACCTCCCAACTACAAAAATGTATGGCGATGACCTAATAGCTGAGATGGTCACTTGGTGTCCCTCCGAATGTGGAGGCATGGGATCAAACCCACATAACTGCAGGCTCTCAATGGTAAGGTCAGTGGACCTAATGTGCACCCTGCTCTGTCCCCACCCTTTAATCCCCCTGTTATGTGTAATACATTTTTTTTTTCTTTTTCTGGACTGTAAGGTAAAGTATTTCATTAAGACCAAATAGCCAAAATACAATATAGCCCCTGTACAGAGAGAAACAGTATGTCCAATACAGCCACCCCTCAAAACAAAAACTATAAACTCCTTACAAAAAGGAAATCAAAATAAAAAAAGGAACATGTCTATTTTTGAACAATGAGTGGTTTTCCAACCAAGAATGCACTATCCCCAAAATCCTGTTGAGAACTTCTTTTGAGGTTTGTCTTCCTTAAAAGATTCTACTATTTCATTCACTCCACATTACCCAGAAAACTGCAGCAAGGAGGATGCTCCATGCTACCTTTCCAGCCCTAGTTAAGCCTCCTAGAAACCAAGCCCCTATGAATCCCTTCACATCAGCCAGGAAGCACATTTTTAACACCAAACAATTTCAACAGACTCATCCAAACCCAGTAAGAATAATCACAGTGTAACAACAAATGGCTAGAAGACCCACATCTCCATTACACAGTGAACAAGCCATATCCTCCTCCTCTAGACCTCTTCTGACTAGATTGTCCCTAGTTAGGATCTTATCCAGCACTGCAGACTAGACAAAAAATACGGTTTAGATGGAACAGACCTGATCCAAATCCTGTCACTTGGGAAAGAAAAAGAATTCTCCCTTGTCAAGCTGTTATGTGTACTATGTAATACCAAAAAGAAGGCCACAAAAATGTATCATAACAGAGTACTATTTCTTTCTTTGCCAGTGTATGTTGCATATGTCTGCTAGTGGTTTCAGAACAAACTACTGACTTTGTTTCTATCAATCTCCTTTCTGTTCCATCCATGCACTCAATAGGGAGCAAAAAGGCATTATCCTAGCCATTGCCCTATACATGTATATAGATGGGTGAAACTTTTCAATGGGTTCAGAAAAGTAATACAGATATAAAATAGTGTGACCAATGGAAGAAGTTTCTGCCCACTCTCTTATCAGATTCATCAAGCTCAACCACTCTGTCAACAAGTGGAGGGTGGGAATAATGGTAATCCAAGTACTATGAATCTGTGTTCATTCCTAATAAATGTTTCTCCTGAAACCATACAAACTTATGATGACAAAAATACAAAAGTACAAATGAATGAGAACCATCTTGAAACGTTCATGAAAAGGCAAGTTTTCTATTCATGGCTTTATTCTCCAGTATACATATGGCCCATGAACCAATCAACCTGGATGGCTCAACTGGCAACAGTCTTTAGATGGATTACAGCTCATCAAGCATTTTAATGCCCATCTATGAGCAAAAATGAAACTAAACAAAATTACAGATTCTTCCAAGAAAATCAGGAACCTGAGTTGGTTGGCAGAAAAAGTCCTGATCAAGTAAGATGAGTGCATATAAGGGTAAAGTATGCTTTCTAGACAATAAACCACTAGCCTAGTTGGTAAAGTATGGGGAGGTCCTTCATTGTTATTTATTAATAATTACTAACCAATAAACCACTAACCTTCCCTAGCCAAGATAGTCATTCTAGACAATAAAATTCTGCATATGGCACCAACACTTGTGTCTTGATGGAGGAGATCTAATCCAAATCCCTATATTTCCCCGTCAAGACACACCAAAATACAAAAAAAAAAAAAAAAAAAAAATGATCCTATCATGCAAAAAGTCCATTTGGATGGAACCAAAGTCAAAAAAAATTGCAACCAAATTCATAACTTGCACACAAGTCCAAGTTGGATCCCAAAATGGTCCAACATCTATGTGGTAAAGGGTTATTTGGTTTCTTTTCTTTAATTTACATATTATGCAAGACAGTGTGAGTAAAGTTTAGACTAAATCATCAACCAGGTGATTGCCTAGGCTTTTTGTAGGCCTATTGCCTAGACAACTAACTAAGATGGCATTATAGATAAAACATCCTAGTGGGAGCAAATAACTACTAATGCGCCCCCTTTATATATTGGTATTTGGTACAAGTGTGTATAACCCATTTTCATTAGATAGGAGTCTATGTAAAGCTTAAAACGTATTTGCATGTGTTTTTTTTTTCAATTTGAACCAGGAATGTTATTCAAAAATATTGTTATTGTTTTGAAAATTGTCATTTCATTATCTGTGGTTGTTTAGTTTATAGTTAAGACAATATTCCACAATGTTTTTGCATGGTTATATACATGCATAAATAAGAGTTGATATATTCAGCAGGAGGCCCCATGGTGCATGTTGTTTGCTGATGGCATTATTTTAATCAATAAAACTAATGAAGCATTAAATGCAAAATTAAGTTTTTGGACAAATACCTTAGAAATAAGAGGTTTTAAAACAAGCAGGTAAAAAATAGAATATATGGTAAGTAAATTTAATAATAATAGAAAGGAAAATCAGAGTACACTTAGGATAGGAGATCAAAGAGATAACTCAATGTGACCTATTCTGGTACCCAGGCTTGATAATTCATAACAAGTGCGAGATTAAGGAGGATGTCACACATATAAATAGAACAGGATAGGCAAAATGGAGATATGCATCCAGAGTCTTATGTATCAGGAGAATACCACTTAGGTTAAAGAGAAAATTTGATAAAGCAGTTGCAAGGCCAATTATAGTTTTGGATAGTCAAGGAAAAAATATGAGTGTGGCAGAATAGGGTCAGAAATGAAGTCATTCGGAAACCTGAAAGTAGCTCCAATAGGTGATAAAATGAGAGAAAGTAGACTAAGATGGTTACAGCGCCCATAAGAAGGGGATAGAACGGCTAGCGGTAAACCAATAAGGAGAAATTATTTAAGCACTCATAATTTAACAATGGATGTCTTTAAATAAAACAGAATGGTGAAACAGGATTCATGTAGCTGACCCCATTTTTTGGGATAAGGCTGCTTGGATGATGATGATGAAATAGGTGTTGATATTTATTCATTCATTTTTCTGGCTTGAGCAACACCTAAATAATGCTAAAGTGCCTAGCATTATCTAATTGCCTTATACATTAATATAAGAAAATATTCAAATTTTACAACCAACACCATTCCATTGAACAAAATTATACAAAATCTGAACAATGCAATCAAATTAACGACATCTACAAATTCAAATTCAGTAACAATAAAAGGTGTATTCACATATTTTTCTGTTGTTTTCCTGTTAGACATCTACAAGTATGAATAGGCATATCCAATTTTCTGAAATTGAACTTG